TGGACCCCGATGCCGTCTCCGTCGCGCTTCTAGACGATGCTGCCGCTCAAAGGGGGGATGTGGACTTGACCGGAGCAGACGAGACCCTAGAAACCAGCGTATCCGGCGTGACGGAGTTGCCTGGGGACGCTGTTTGCCCTGTGCTAAGGCCACGCGCGTCAGGGAGGGTAGTGCCAGGCCGAGCAGTGCGCAGCATTTGTGGTGACTGCGACATGCGTGTGTGGCTGTCACGTTGTCTACCGGGGCCCGCTCTCAGCGGTGCAGGCGGTACTGCCCTCCAGGAGGCCATCCCAGACTCGCGGAGTACAGACGGTCTCCTTGCCTCGTGGCGCCTGCTGTGCCGGTGGCTGGGTGCGAGGGAAGAGATGGGCGCACAGCAGTGTGGTGAGAAGGTGCCGCTGTCAGAGGCAATGCAGGCTGACGACGAGGGAGGAACACGCGAGCAGGTGGACCAACAGAAGCTGAGGGGTACAGCAGAAGCGGTCACAGAGACGGATGTGGATGAAGCGAGAGTACCATTGTCAGGCCTGTCCGTGTGTGTTGCTCGATACCTCCGCTATCTCTCTGCCGCCACATGTGGCACGCACCTGCATCTGCACGATGTTCTTGCCCTTCCCGAGTCATCAGAATGCCGCTTGCGCCCTCCGAATGGAACACATGATGCTGCTTGTTCGGTACCTACAAACGAGGACAAAGTAGAAGCTTCACATGATGTAGAGAGCATGGAGAGGAAGGGGGACCCATGCACTCAGCCTGAGGCCGCTGCATTTGGCGGCAGAGGAGCAGACGAAGCACTGTTGCCGGAAGCTGTGGTGCGCGGAGAGCAGAGCATTAATGGAGTTGATGGACAGCATGTAGCGGCTGGGTCTGGTATGCCACCCAGAGCAGTTGGGGGCGTGCACACTGCGTGCAGGCTCACAGATATTCCCATGGAGATGCACTTGGCTGCGCCTTTCTCATCTCTCTGTGAACACCACCTGCTGCCTTTCTTTGGGGTTGTCCATGTGGCAATTTGCCGATCACAAGTCTGCTCAACCACCCTCGCGTCCCCCGCCACTGCAGCCGCTGCTGAGCCAGCGGCGCCCCTTCTGTCAGCGGAGGCATTACCTGCTATCTGCTGGCTCTATGGCCGTCGACTACAGGTTCAGGAGCGTTTCACCCGCCAGGTGGCAGAAGCAGTCATGGAGGCATGTGGTGGGCAGGCCGAGGGGGTGATGGTGGTGGTGGAGGCACACCACATGTGCATGATTGTCAGGGGTGTGGAGAAAACGGCCACCACCACATCGACTGTTGCTACATTTGGCACCTTCTCTTTGTTTCCGCGCATGAGAGCCAGGTTCCTTAATACGCTGCCACGGACAAACCCACGGTGATGGTGGGTCACCGTATGAATGAACTCTCTACACACTTGGACATCCATTCCAGGGGCTACACGTTTTTTTGTCAATTCATGTCAGTGTTTGGCTATCATTAAGCGCTCCCCAAGTTTTGCATCTGGGCAATCTAGAAGTAACGATGCGCTCATTTACCAATTTCCATCTTTGTTTAAACAGGAATGCATGGATGGATGGAATGTGGAATGGACTACTCCTGAACCTGAAGCATCCCAGAGAAATCCTGGACTCCTGACCCAAAGACTACACCACTATAACTGATGACTGTTTAGGACGTTCCTCCTTTTTTGCTGTACAGAGGCATGGGTACTATACCAGGCTCAGTATACCGTATCTGAAACATGAGGAGAATATCCATGTAAATCAAGGTGCGTAATTATAAGAATTTCAGTTGCTAGAGTTTCTGGCGAGCTTGTATAAATATCGAAGCTGTCCTTACTGTTATATCACCTTTATCACCATCTGGAAGGCTGGTGTGCTAGGGTTTAGCCATGAGTGCCCTTGGCTAGGTGCTGGTGGATATCCGAAGGTTCCCCACCTTCTATCATCAACACGCCACTTGTCAGCATTTCAGTGGCGCGGTGTTGAAATGGCTTCGATAGTGCTTCGATTCAAGATGACAGCTGCTTCATGCGTTCCCAGCGTTTTCGTCATTCGGATCGTAAAGCTGGGAATGTTTCGCCACTCACTTCGTCCGCACCATACATGGTTCTCGTGCGCTAGCGATCTCAGAAATCAATCACTTTCTGGTAACTTGGTCAGCACCACAAGCCTCTCGACCTTCCTTTCAGACTTTCTTCATGATTAACAGCAGCTCAAGCCACTTCTTGTCCTCCTCAGTCCGCCAACGTTGCTGAGCCTGTTTCTGCGACCCGCACCCTCTCCATTGCTACCGCTGTTTGCTGACGATGTCTGAATCAAGCGAGAAGGCATCTGCAGGTGCGTAGTTTCGTAACCGTGGTGCCTTGATACTGCATATGTAGCGTAGCGTCTGTCTCCTTACTACTTCATGCTGTCTTGTGAAATCACAGTCACCGCGGAGGCTGTCCCCGATATTAAGGCGGAGTCGACTACCAGCGATGCGGCTGCGGCTGGATCGGAGGCGAAGGCTACAACTCCTGGCGGTCCACCCAACGCCTTTGACTTTTCAAGCCTCGCTGGAGTTCTCAATGTTCGTTTCTCTATTTTCTCAAGCATAGTTTGCATGCATACCCGCACGTCGTATGTCACCGCCTTTCGAGATTTTTTTCCCAAGAGTGTCTGATGTGATCTCACGGCAATTTGATGCGCTTGTGTATGCATGCAGGACCCATCTATCAAGGAGATGGCAGAGCAGATCGCCAAAGATCCCTCTTTCTCTCAGATGACACAAGAGCTCCAAGGAAGCGTGAAAGTTGGTAGTGATGGCGCTCCCCAACTTGATCCCCAGCAATACATGAAGGTAAGATTCTAGACCCTGGCACTTAGTCACGTCATTCCTTAACATTCGATTCATCACGATACGACGGGCTCCTTCACACCAGCCTCTGGTGTATTTTTGCAGGCGATGCAACAAGTGATGTCGAACCCAAGCTTCATGACTATCGCCGAGAAGTTCGGCAACGCTCTGATGCAGGTTAGGTCTCTGACTTTCGCTTGTTCCGATTGTGATTTTTGCGGTTGTTTAAAACAGATAAGCCGTATGTCGATTGCATGGTAGTCGTAGAGGTTGTGTTTTGCGAATTATACGTCTTACTGACCTGCTGTCCTGTTTGTTTCTGGGTTTACATGTGTCCGCAGGATCCTCAAATGATGACTATGATGCAGACTCTCCAGAACCCGTCGTATCGTGATCAGATGCAGCAGCGGGTAGCTGCCATCAAGGAGGATCCTTCTTTGAAGTCTGTCCTCGAAGAGCTCGAGACTGGGGGCCCTGCAGCAATGATGAAGTATGTTTCTCTTACGCCGTTCTTATTACGATGCGGCGGAAAGTCACGAGGATTTGGTCTCAGGCTGTTCTTCTGTTCTTATACTCGCCTGTGCTCGCAGGTACTGGAACGATCCTGAGGTTCTGGGCAAGCTTGGCAAGGCCATGGGCGGTGCGTTCCCTATTCCTCCTCACATGGCTGGAGCAGCTGGTCCGTCTGGCGAGGAAGATGCTGCAGATGAGGCAGCAGAGGGAGAGGAAGAATCTCCTTCACTTCATTCCGCAGCGAGCAACGGAGACGCAGAGGTATTTCTCATTCCCTGTAGCCTTGTCGGGTCTTACTTGTTCTCTCTTCTTCCATGCCCGGTGTCCTTTACTGCTTTGATATTAAAGAACCTCGTCCTGAACATCGCGGAATGAACGGATACGTATGTGCTCAAGATGTGCAGAAGGGATAACCATGTCATAAACTTCGAGTAGCTTTCTCTGTTGTTGGTGGAAAGGGTTGGGAAGAAGTTTCAAGTATGGCTGCATATCGCATATAGCTGACATGGAACAGCCAAACCACTGGATGGTGGTTGCTTATTGTCCTGCACAAATCTGGCTGGTTGTTCTTACAGGAGGTGAAGCGGCTGATCGCTGAAGGAGCAGATAAGAACGAGAAGGATGGCGAGGGAAGGACAGCCCTCCATTTTGCATGTGGATATGGCGAGGTATGTTGAAGAAATTGCACATTAAACTATCTCGAATCGAAGCTGGATCACGCCTTACTGACACACTCATGATCTGGGCAGGTCAAGTGTGCGGAGGCACTTCTTGATGCTGGTGCTGATGTTGACTCTTTGGACAAGAACAAGAACACGCCTCTGCATTATTCGGCTGGCTATGGGCGCAAGGAGGTTGTGGAGCTGCTGGTCAAGAGTGGTGCTGCAGTGTGAGTATTTCAGCTCTGTTTACTAAACCGTTGTCACACTTTTATGACATGCAGCCCTTTAGGATGTTTCTTTTTTTCTCTGTATCTCTCTTCCCCTGTCCTCCATCGGCTACTCTTGGCAGCACACTGAGGAACCTGGATGGCAAGACAGCAGCAGATGTGGCCAAGTTGAACAGCCAGAAGGAGGTGGTTGCGCTCTTGGAAAAAGATGCATTTTTGTGAGCTGATATGGTCGGATCTAGTTGTTGCCTGGCTGTTCAACCCTCAGAAGGTGTTATGCGTTAGATATTTAGTCAACTCTCAGAAGTTCCAGTATATCTGCAGTAATGTAATCTGCATGAGCTGGAGTATTCTAGTTGTCAAGATTGTTTCAGTACCAGTAGTTTTGAAGGTTCACATCTGAATGAAGCTTGTGCCTGTGGTTGGTGCTGGTCTTATAAACTAGAGAAACTGGGTGGGAAAGGTTGCCAGAAATTCTGAAGTTCCAGGTCTCTAGGATATTGATCATCAGTTAATTAGACAATGATTGGCAAAACTCTGGACAGGGTGTGTGTGCGATCCTCAATGAAACTGGGTGTAAGAAAACATGCCAGACGGAAGCAGAAGGTCTGGAGCCACTCAATCAAGATTACACTTCAAACACAACTCCAAGATCAGAAGAACTTCTGGTCAACGAGGATCAGAGAATGCTTCTCAGTTTAGACAATGTCTCGCTACAAATGCTACTGAAATACTGGGTAAAAAGCTGCAACTTGCCCTCGTTGCTTCAGCTTAGCAGAGCCTTCTCAATGGTCTCTTTCAGCTCCCCACTTTGGAAACCCTCTGCACAACACAAGCCCACAGAAACACGACAACGTCATAAACGCCTGCCAATGCATATCAACGCATGGTGCCCAGAAGGGCCAAGAACTTACCAGTCCAGCATCATCACTCTTAACTCGCAATATGGTCAAACACTCACCTCAAACACCAATTGAAAAGTTAAGCAGGACTGACTCACATCGCTCAAACGACTGCCTGGCCTCTCTTCTTACCGATAGTAATATCACAACCGCCATAAAACTCCCCATCGATATATAGCTGGGGGAAAGTAGGCCAGCTGCTGTATTCCTTCATGCCCTGTCGTAGCCGGTCATCCTCAAGAATATTGACAGTCTCAAACGGCACGTTCAGCGTGGTGAGGATCTGAACGCAGGTGTTAGAGAAGCCGCACTGCGGAAACTGCTTGTTGCCCTTCATGAAGAGAATAACTTTGTTCTCCGAAATGAACTTATCTAGTGCCGACTTTAATTCCGGCGTAAGTGCTGCAATGAGAGTCGGGGAGAATTGACGGAGACGGTGGTGAGACGTGAGCAGCAGAAATTACGTTGTTCGTAGCGTGATTATGAAATATGCGTGGAAGGCGACGGCACACAGAAAACTGGTCTATAGACACTCGCAGCCGGGATTGGGCAAGCTTGCGGACTGATAACATGGGCCACGGCCACGCGAGAGCAAGCGTTGCACTGAAGTTCCTTTGACCGAAAGAACTGCCTTATCCTTTGAGGCTCAATTTGCATAGCTCAGACGAGATGCAACATACTACCACGTTCGACAGGAGGAAACAGACGAGGAAAATCTCGTAAACGTTAGGACATGCATTCCACTACGTGACATACCGCCGGAGCTCGGTGCGTCGAAGCTAGCCCGCACATCTGGTCTCCTGTGCGGTGCTGCCACGACAGCTCGCGAAGCGCTGGCATGGCGGCGTAGCGGCACGGCGAGGAATGAAGAGGACAGACGTGCGCTCCTAGCTGCCACGGGCGAGGTGCAACCCTGCCTGAGGTTCGCAGACACGGCAGGGGCGAAAGTGGTGGTAGCCATTCTGGCAGCAAGGCACGATAGCTAGGATGCAGTGGAATGGAATGATCAAGTGTAGTGAGGGGAAAGAAAGGGATGGGTAAAGTGATTGCTGGAACTGGGGACGAGTTCAAAATCCAAAGAATGTGCTGACGTGGTCGCTCAGCGAGAACATTCTAATAAATACTTGACACGCGGCACTGCATTATTTGGTACACCGACCGGTTCAGCCAGCTCGTGTTCGGGACTGCAGGTGGTAAAGTGTAGCTTTGGGGGCTCAAGTACGGTACATGAATCTCGGGCATTCCCGATTCAATGCACGAACGGAAAGATCGTCCTGTAACACTAGGATTACGGCCCAAAGGTTGTGAATCTACATAGGTACATTGACTTTGTTCTTTAGAAGTGTAAGAAAATTATTTTACTAGTACATGTGGCACACAGGGCATAACTTCAAGATAGCGTAAGGCATACCATTGAAGTGAACAGACAATATGTCAAAAGTCCTCAATGTCTTCGATATCATTATGAGCGTCTTGATCAGAAACAGCAGCTTCTGTTTTGGCGCACCTTCCCATAGATTCTTGCAGCAAACCATGCAGCGAACGTAACCGTGCCACGCTGATGTCAGATGCAATGTCAGCACTATTGCCCCTGAGAGAGCCAAGTGGCAAGCTTTGGCTTGCTGCAAGAGTAAAGCACTCTGACCGCAACTCCAGGAGTGATGCCTGTCATTTGCAGGGAACAGGGTTTGACATAGACCCGTGAAAGGGGCATGGATACAACAAAACGAAGAAAGGAATTTGTGAAGTTCGCTGAAGTTGGGACTGCAGACGCACAGGAAAGTGCAAGGGGATAGCCACTGAAGCAGCATGTGATGAGATGCTGAGCTGCTAAGCGTGCTGCAGCATACCAGCAAGTGAAGAGAGAAAGCTTACCTTATTGCGGCGCATTTGTGCTTCAGTGGCCCAAACAACTGGTGAGCGAAAGGCAAAGAACCTGCAGAAGCAAAGAACCCAAACACCTGTTGAGTACACACAGGCATGGCGCCAGCAAGAGCCTTTTTTGTGAACACCCTGAATGGACATAGCTCAGAACGTCAACAAACTGCAACATCTCAAGGGACAAACACCACAAATCTCTCTTCTCCGCCGCATGTATCTCCCCCCGTCCTTCCCCCTCTCTCCCTCCCCAAATGCCATAGTCTGACCGTTTGGGAGCAGGCTGAGTGTTCCAGAACATGACTCCCCTGGCTGCCACGGACGCTGCTGCTGCTGCACGCACTGCTGCAGGTGAGAGATCCTCATCCCCCCCACCCACGCCATCTGCTGCCATACTGCTGCCACCAGACCACGAGGAGAGGTGCAAGGAGGAGGAGGAGGAGAGGAGCGTAAGCACGTCACTGAGAGCAGCACTTGCACCCACCGCAGCTTCCAGGCCGTCACATGGATGCAGCATGTCCAACACTGGTGGGTCATTCCAGAGGGCACGGAGAGAGCGTGCAAACATGTTCAGAGAGGGGGAGGGGAGGCAGATGAAGGGAGCACAAGGAGAAATGAAGGTGTAACTACAGGCTGTTGCTGTTAGAAGAAGGAGGAGGAGTAGGAAGAAGAAAGGGAGGGGGAGGTGGTTGTGGTAGTAGTGGCGGAGCAGACAGAGGTGCAAGAGTACGTCCAAGAGCTGCAATGATGTGCATGGGCGGCCATCCATGTCCAACTACCATGGCACCCCCCAGGTCGTGACTCACTGTTCTCATGCAGGTAGCAGCAGAGCTTCATGGGGGCGATCTGGGAGCGTTGAATGATCACCTCTGCTGCCTCCATGTCCACCGCCGCTCGCTGCAACTCCTCCCGCACCGCCACTGCACTGCCTCCACTCACCCCATCACCACCACTGCTTTCCATGCCACCATCACCAGCATTGCCTATAGGTGCATCAGGGCCAGGAGCGCACTGATGACTGTCCCCTGTGATCACCTGCTGTGAGCTGGACTGCCCCCACTGCTGCCACCTGAGTGGATTCGCCACCCACTCACGCTCACTCCGCTGCTCTGCTTCTGCCTTGTGCTGGGCTGCAGTGGGCACACAGCACACACACAAGTGACATTCCAGAGAGGTGTTTAGTTTGGGGAGGGGGATGGGGATGGGGGATGCGACCCGACTAACGTTTGCTCGTTATTTTCTTCAATTATCCCACTAGGGCAAGCAGCAACAAACGAAGGGGCAAGGAGAACAATCACCACAGCCGGCTACGTGATAAGAGTGGAGACTGCAACGTGACTTCCGTTGTAGTGTGCAAAGGCCACAGCACAAGCGTACAGGTGTGCAGGGAAGCAGGTGGGCGGGAGTGTCACCTGCAGGGAGGCGCTTATTGTGGAGGAACTTTCCCACGGCGTGGAAGAGAGACAGCGGGTCGTCACGACCTGCACCCACCGCTGCATCCTCTGCACCTCCACTGCTCCCCCCTGCACCAGCAGTAGCAGCACCACCACTCCCATGTCTCAACACCCCTCTGTTGCATCCGCCCTCTTCCTCTCCTCCACCACTTGACTCACAATGCGTTAAATCCACCAACTCAGTTGAACCTCGCGATTGTTGCACCTTCCTCTTCTTCCTCCTTTTCCCCTGCTCCGTCCCTTCACTTTTTGACCCACTACATCCCTGTTCCCCCCCTTCCCCCATCCCCACGCTGCCCCTGCCCCCAGCAGCAGCACCCCCAGGGTCCCACGTGTGGCTGGGGGGCCGGCGGGTGGAGAGGGAGAGCAGCTGTAGCTGCGAGATGGCATGGCGCAGGTCCCCTGCACTGCTCTCCGCCACAGCCGCTACAGCCGGGGCGGCTAGCGGGGATCCTGCCGCCGCTGCCACGGCTGCCAGCGCCTTGTGCATGGCGCCTGGTGCTATGGGGTTGAACTCCACCTGATGCCCACACGGCACCCATATGCACGGTGCACGGGCATGGGGAGGGAGAGGAAGGCAGCCAGGGGAAAGACGATGTGCAGAGAAAGGCAGAGAAAAGGTCACGCATCAAGCCGGGTGACAAGTGCGCGAAACTGTGCAGGCTGTCGGGTAAGCATAGGACCATTCCAAAGGGCTTGCCACGCGTGTGCATGATTGCATGAACACAGGAAATGTGTGATGCGACAGCACTGGAAAAGAAACGGTGTGTGGGTGTGTCTGTAGACACGTGGATGCTGATGCGGGCAGAAATACCAATGTGTGCATAACTTGCTAAGAACACTTCGTGTTCTCGGCACATGCAGCAGCCCACCTTGTGAGCCCCTCCACTCATCAACGCATCCAGCACATCCCGCGTGGGCGCCCCATCCCCCTGCCTCCACTCGCCTCGCATCCCTCCACGTGCACCGCCTGGAGCAGAGGCGCTGGCAGCGGAGGTGGACGTGGTGGGGAGGGAGAGCACGACCACAGCCGGCACATGCGAGGCAGTGGCCAGCGAGTGCATGGCGTGGCACAGCGCGTCACAGCGCTGCCGCCCCGACACGAATGGCAGGTCGTCGATCAGAAGCACATGGCGTGATGGGGAGGCGGGTGAGAGCGAGGTGGATGGTGATGGCGGTGCCGGTAAAGCTGGCGGTGACGGTGGCAGCAGAGGGGACGATGGGACCGCAGATGCTCCCACATGCCGTCCACTCACCACAGCACCTGGTGCGCTGCCGTCCTGGCTTCCACGCTTTACCACCTGTTTTTTCTCCTTGGCCTTGCCCCGAGCACCATGAGCATCACTCGATTCGCGGAATGATGGCAGCCACTCCTCATCGTCACCACCCTCCTCCTCATCAGCTTCATCACCATCGCCATCACGCGTCTCCCCAACACCCTCCCAGGACTCAACACTGTTGCTCCTCCTACCCTTACTATTCCCCTCCATCCCCTTCGTCCCACCAGCTTTCGCTTCCTCACGCCCCGTCTTCTCCCCTCTCCGCCCCTCTCTCACTCCCTCTGGTCGCTGCACAACGCCCCTCCCACGACTTGTAGTCTGCCTCTCGGCCGCTGAAACAGGCAATGAAGCCTTATTCCGCTTGCCCGACAAAGGGGGGCGAGAAGGGGGCGGCATCGTGGAGGGCAAGCGATGGGAGGTGGGAGAAGCGGTGGGTGGGGGGGAGCGAGCGGAAGGTTGCGGTGCTTGAGGTGGGGCGAGAGTGGGTGCGGGAGTGGTAGTGGAAGTAGGAGTGGGCGCGGTGGAGAGGGCGAGGGGTGAGAAGAGGCGTGAGGAGCGGATGAAGTCGGAGAAGCTGGCGAGCTTCTCCTGGTGCTCCATGCCTGTGGGGCAGGGGGTCACACACACGACACGACACGAGCACACAGCAGTGGGGCGGGAGCAGCACTTTTCGTGAGCAGACCAGAGAGGTGGGGGGCAAGGGGCATGACACTGCTGCATTGCATCCCCTTTCTCCGCTGTTCCTGCTGCTGCTGCGCTCTCTGAGGGCTGTAAAGAGCAGTGGAAGGCACATGGAGGGCTTGAGGGCCGTACCAGCAGCAGCCTGGGAGGAGCGGATGTGGCGGCGGTCGTCCCACAGCAGTGGCACGGGCGCCTGCCAGTCCTGCACCGTCACTCCCCGTGCTGCTGCCACCACGTGCACCAGCGCCTGCATGCTCACACACACACCAGCACGGCCCATGGGATATACACGGGGGTCATGCATGCTCGAGCGTGTGGACAACCTTACAAAAGTCAGCTATGGTGGTAGAGGCAAGAAGCAAGGCGGTTGGATAGAGCGAGCAAGAGGGAGAGAGGGGAGAGGACTGACCGTCTTTCCACATCCCGGGGGTCCCACCAGCGCGAGCACCTTGCTGGGCTGCTGCCATGAGCTCTCTTGCACCCATCATCAGCACGTGCATCATGGCAACACATGCACGCCCACACACCATGGCCGTCAGGGAGGGTTGCGGAAAGGTTGAAAACGGTATGGTTGCTGAAGGTTGGTGGCATCAGAGTGCAATAGATGAGAGTATGCTGGTAGAGTGGCCAGAGGCCGCAGAGCCCAGCAGCAAGCAGCAAGCAGCAAGCAGTTGTTAAAGGAAGACAAGCGGCACACAAGGAGCGTGTGGGAAACGGTGCTGCTGTACCTTTGTACTAGCATCGCCCTTGTGCCCCCCTCCTGCCGCCTTCTGCTTGCTCCCTTTTCCCTTGCTCTGCTGCACCGGCCTGTGCATGACGGGTGGGCCGAAATGCGCGTCGAACCACTGTGACACCTCCTGCACCTGTTGGTACCCATGCACGCCACGGGGTTGGGTTAGGGCAACCATGTTTTGCATTGGCAACGAACGAGTTACATGGCGTTGATCAATACATAGCAATTTTGTATGGCTTGGGCAATGAGCTACGATCACATTGGTAGTACCAGGTATACTTGATTTGTTTTCTAATGTTCATTTGGTGCTTGATCTGGCTAATACAAAAAACACTTGGCTGACTGCTTTCGAATCTGCTCCTTGCTTCCGTTACTTCGCTGAGTGTTGGACAATGCTCAAGACACAAGACACAGAGCATTGCGAACAGGGGAGCACACGGCGGCTCACCTTTTTCCGGTGCACGGCCAGCTCGTCCTCCCACTTGGGCGCGAACCGCTCCACCCACAGCCCCGCGCCCATCCCGCCCTCGCCATCCCCGCCGCCAGGTGACACGTCACCACTGACACAGCTCGGGCTGCCAGTGCGTGGCGAGGTGCCGGATAGCGGGACGGCTTCGGAATGCGACTTGCGGTTGGGAATGCGCCAAGCTTGAGTAGAGGTGAAACTCGTGGCCTGACTGGCGCTCACCGGGTCGTCCAAATCCACCAGATCGAACGTTAGCTTCTGCTGCTGGAACGGTTTCCCTCCCTTCTCGACCTTGCTGCTTGACTGGCGCTTCTGAGAATCTCTCACCTCGCTCGATGAACCACCCCCTTTCTTTCTCTTGCCCTTCATACCGGCTAAATTCTCACCACCGTATGGCATCCGATGATCCGATAAAGAACATGTCTTGGCCGATGATCCGAAGAATGGACTGGAGAATTGTGTGTTGCTCTGTCCCTGATGCGAGCAAGTATGAGCTGAGCAGGAATCGTGTCTCGTCAGGCTGGACTCGAGACTGGTAGGATTCGACTTACAAAACAAGAGCTATGATGTCATTGGTTGAGACGAAGATATATCCTAAATGATTTACCTACCAGCCATGCATAATTTATAACAGATGGATATTAATAACATGCGAATACGTCTGAAACCATAATAATACATAAATTTTTACAAATTATAGAGTGGCAACTATCATGTACAGGAAGTAATATATAGTGCCTGGATGAGAGTTTTTATAAGGACATCAAATTTCATGTTTTATCAAAGTTGATGTGGTGGAAGGTCTTTGGAAGACATGTTCATCCGAGCTGTGTGTGGTTTGGAGGTGTCCCGCATTTCGCGCATTGTCCAGTTGGCGTCCTCTGGTTGCTCCTCCTGCTTCCCGCTCTCTTGGAGTTGAGTGCCAATCTTTTCATCCAGCAATGTTCCGGCACGTGTATGAGCGAGCACGTCAGATCTCTGCTTCTGGTGATGGTGGATCCATGGCAAGCCTGCGTGTCACTGGAAACAAGGCAATGTTTGATTTGGAAGTGCGTGAGAGCGATGCGTGATTCGCGCGCATTACTTCGCTGCGCAGGAAGGTTCTATGGCTCCTCAATTCTGCATCAATGCAGCAAAACTGTCTGGAATGTGAATGGCAGCAAGTGGAAGAGATGCCTCCTCCATCCATACATATACCACCATGTGATGGTCACCTTTCAATTCATGCACTAGTAGCATCTCAGTCTTCCTCAGCTCCTCGTCTGCACTTCACTCTTGCCCTTAGATCCGCGCTGCCTCCCACACTAAACATGGCTCTCCGTCTCGGCGCTCATCCCCTAGCTGTCTCGGTGCCCGCTTCTCAGAGCGTGACTCGTCACTGCCAAGAGGCAAAAAGCGTGGCCCGAGTAACCGTCGTAGCGTCGGCTTCAGCGAAGCATCCGGAGGTATGTGTGTTCCCGTGCCACATCCACGTGCACCATCATACGCTATGGAAGAACGATATTCTTCCGCTAAGCACCTGGTAAACCATCACAAGTGAAGCATACTCAGAAGACTGCCGTACACATGTGATGATCAACACTTGACTGAAAGTGGGGATAATTGACTCAAGATACTAGCTTGCAGCCTGATCTGTGCAACTCTCACAAGCTACTTCTCCAATCTTTCTGTATCATTCTTTTTTTTCAAATAGCCAATTACATTAATCCACTCATCCATGAATTCAAATCATGTTTTTTCCTTCACAACGACTCTTTCCATCAGGATCTCGCAAGGCCTGTGAGTCGTCGGCACGTGATCATTGGTGCGGGCGCGCTCGCAGCTTCCGTATCCCCTCTCTTCGCCGGAGCTCGCAACGCGCTGGCGGAGGAGGAGGGTGCAGAGGAGCTTGCACCTGCGCTCGTGGACGAGGCCGTTGAGGAAGCCACCGTGGAACCCGAGGCCCAACCCGAGGCACAGCCTGAGGCCGAACCCGAGGCCACCCCCGAGACGGAAGCGGAGGCCGAGTCCGTAACGGAGGCCGAGCCTGAGGCCACCTCCGAGCCGGAAGCGGAGGCCGAGCCTGAGGCCTCCCCTGAGCCAGAAGCGGAGGCCGAGTCTGAGGCCGCACCTGAGACTGAGCCTGAGACTGCGCCGGAACCCGAGGCCATGGCCGAGGCTGAGACTGAGGCGGAGGGTGAAGCGGAGAAGGAGAGCGAGGTGGAAGTGTTCGGCGATGATGATTCTGATTCAGACTCGGACTCGGAGTACGGCGAGCTGGAGGAGACGCCCGTGCTCAAGGCCATGGCCGAACTCTCCGGCTTCTTGCAGGAGCTCAAGAAACTCGCGGAGTTGCAGTGATTTTGAAGCACTGCTGTTTGTGTGTGTGAGAACCCTCAGCTCGTACAACTAGATGCCGCGTTTTTTCCCCCTCCTGTGTTTATTTGTTGTGTGGACGGGGCTTGTTTGTATGCATTCAGCGTGATGTAGTAAAAGGCTAAGAGCAGTTTTAAGTTGGAGTTTGCAGGCAACAATAAACATGCAAATATAAGACTTGTAGGGGTTAACTGTGGGCCCAGTGTATCAGACTCCAGAAACTGAAGCTTGCTGACATGCAGCCACTATGAAGGTAGCAACTACTGTTTGACTGCTGAGCTGAGCGCAACTGCTCTTCGAAGGAAATAAGAATCTGATTTAATTCAATAAACTATTAAACATAGATACAAGCACACATAGCGATCGGAACAGCTGACAGATATGTACAAATTGAACATGCAACTAACGTAAATTAATGTGCACTACACTACCCTTTATCCATACTGCAGACATGTGCACCAACATTGCCAAGAATGACCCAGCCCACCTTTTCCAGCCTTGAACGGGTCATCATCCCTGCACCTGCAGTGCTATGAGATCGAGCTTAGCCGGGCGCTTGTAGCGGCGCAAGAGCAGGGACGAGCACACCACGCTCACAGACGACAGGGCCATGGCAGCACCGGCGATCCAGGGAGGCAGGCGGAAGTGCAGGGGCGTGGGGAAGAGCACCCCAGCAGCAATGGGGATGCCCAGCACGTTGTACCCCAACGCCCACACATAATTCAGCCGGATGCGAGTTAGCGCAGTGCGTGCCAGATGAACGGCTGTGATCACATCCTCCAGCGACGACCGCATGAGCACCACGTCAGCTGCTTCTATCGCAATATCCGTGCCGGCACCTATGGCCATGCCCACATCCGCCGCTACCAGCGCCGGGGAGTCATTCACCCCATCGCCCACCATGGCCACCTGCTGCCCCTCCGCCTGCCTCTGCCGCACATACTCCGCCTTGTGCTGTGGCACCGCCTCTGCCACCACGTCGCTGTCTGCTATCCCCACTGCGCGCGCCACGGCCCTGGCGGCGCCCCAGTTGTCCCCAGTGACAAGCACGGGGTGCATGCCCATGGCCTTGAGCAAGGCCACCACGGGCGCTGCCTCGGGCTTCACAGGGTCTGATACTGCCACGCCTGCTACCACCTCGCCGTCCAGTGCCACTAGCACGCCCGTCTGTGCGTCTGCCTGCACCTCCTCCAGCCACTGCTCTGCTCGTGCTGGCACGGGCAGTGGAGTTGTGCAGGGGAGTGCAGTGGGGGAAGGCTCGGATGAGGGGTCGATGGTGGGTGGGCCTCGCATCAGCTTCAAATTGCCCACTGCCACGTGGCGACCGCTGATTTGACAGATGATTCCATGGCCTGGGATGGAGTGGAAGGAGTCGACTGGAGGGAGAGATGAAAGACCTCCTCTGTTGCTGCTGCTGCTGCCGTTGGTAACATTGTGAGCAGGGGCAGCAGTTGAAGGGCCAGAGGAGAAGCTGCATAGCTCGACTGCGGTGCCAGGATGAGAGAGAGGGAGGAGAGGAGGAGGGGACGAGGGAGGCGAGGGAGGTGGGGAAAGAGGAAGCGAGGGTGGAGCTTTGCTAAAGGAGGAGGTGGAGGAGGAGGCAGAGGCAGAAGGGGGGAGGGGGAGGGGCGGGAGTGGGATGTGGGAGAGGGATGGGAGCAAGGAGGGGAGGAGGGGCGAGTGCATGCAGTAGTCGGCGATAGCCTTGGCCAAGGGGTGCTCGCTGTTCGCCTCAGCAGCAGCGAGCAGCGCGAGGAGGTCGGGCATGGCGAGGCGCGAGGTGAAGAGAGCCGTGGCGGTGACGCTGGGCTTGCCCTGTGTGAGCGTGCCGGTCTTGTCAAACACCACCGCCTCTATCTTGTGCGCCCTCTCCAGTGCATCCGCACCCTTGATCAGAATGCCCTGCTGCGCGCCCACCCCCGTGGCCACCATGACCGCTGTGGGCGTGGCAAGACCCAGCGCGCACGGGCATGCGATGACCAGCACTGCGATGCCGAACTGCAGTGCCAGCTCGAATGGCGTCATGCCCGTTGGTAGCCAGGACGCGGGGTAGGTGCCGAGGTAGCCCGTGATGAGCCATGCTAGGAAGACCACCAGTGCCAGCAGCACGACCTGTTGGGGGGGAGAGGGGAAGGGGGAGGGAGGGAGGGAGAGTGGGAGGATGGGACAAGATTAGGAAGGAGAAGAGGGGAGGGAGAGGAGGAGGTGAGATGTGTGGTAAGACGGCCATAGCGCAATCATAGGCGGGGGGTGAGGTGCAGCAATGTCACGATGGGTCAGCGGGGCGGGAAAGATGGCAGCAGATGCAAGGCAGTGAAGGGGAAGCAGGAGGCAAGCATACAGCGGCCAGGGCACTCACAGTGGGCACAAAGACGGCTGAGATCTGGTCTGCCACGCGTTGGATGGGCGCCTTGGCCATCTGCGCCGCCTCCACCAGCTTCACGATCTGCGCCAGCGCCGTCTCGCCGCCGACGCGTGTGGCACGCACGTGCACACTGCCGCCCAGGTTGAGCGTGCCACCGATGACAGCGCTGCCCACCTCCTTGAGCACGGGGCGTGCCTCCCCCGTGACCATGCTCTCGTTGGCGTAAGTGTGTCCCCACACCACCACGCCATCCACCGGCATCTTGCCTCCTGGTGCCACACGGATGATGTCCCCACGCTGAATCAGCGCCGCCTCTATCTCCCGCTCCCCCACCACGCGCATCCCCTCCCCCGTCTCACCAATCAACTGCTCTTCCTCCCCCTCCCCATTCCCCTCGCCTCCTCCCGCGGCGCTCCCCTGCTCCGCGCGCTCCGCTCCCCCCTGTGAGCTGGTGTCCACGGAGAGCAGCACGGCGGTGGCGGGGGCGAGGTTGAGCAGCTTGCCGATGGCGTCGCTGGTGCGCCCGCGCGCCACGGCCTCCAGGTACTTGCCCAGCACGATGAACGAGATCAGCATCGCGCTCGTCTCAAAGAAATCCACCCCCGCGTATGCCGACACGGACGCGGATGCAGACGCCTCCCCGCCCCCCTCCATGCCCTCCATAATCATGCGCGCCACATGCGCTACCGCACCACCGCCACTAGTGGCGGCGGCGGTGGCGGCGCTGGGAGGCGCCCCGGCGGAGCCGGCGGGGGAGGGGGAGGGGGAGGGGAGGGGCGTGGCGGCGGAGGCGATGAGGGCGAAGGAGGAGTAGAAGAAGGCAGCGTTGGTGCCCATGGCCACCAGCACGTCCATGTTCGCCGCTCGCCGCCTTAGAGCATAGAATGCGCCCGTGTAGAAGCGCCACCCCACCACGAACTGCACTGGTGCTGTGAGCAGCCCGCGCAGCAGCATGCCGATGGGCAGCCTGGGGGGGAACAGGGACAGAGGGAGGGGGAGACGGTTTGAGTGGATGTGTGAACCACATCTGAGACAGCAAGGTGAGAAAACGAACGGCATGAGAGAGGTGAGATGGAGGGTAAGAGGAGGTGTGGTTCAATAACTATTTCTATTATTATTAAACGGTAACTCACGAGTTGATGACGGGAGTCATGAGCCAGGCGTCGAAGGGCGGGATGTGGTTGAGCACCATGGCGAGCAGGAACACGGGCACCGTGAACACCAGGCTCCACACGAACTGCCGCCACAACTTCCGCACCTCCTGCTCCCGCTCCTTCGCGCCCGCGCTCCCTCCTACCCCGCCTCCCTCGCTCTCCGCCAGCTCCACCTTCGCCACCCCGCCCACCCCCGCCACTTCCGCCTGCAGCGCCTCGAGAATGTCGCGCGCGCCCGTGCGGTCGGGGTCGAACGTCACTGCGGCCGTCTCGCTCTCCGCGTGCACTGCCGCGGCCGACACTCCCGGCAGCGCGCACAGCACCGCCTCTATGCGCGCGGGCAGCGGAAGCGGTGCCGCGCGCGCGGAACCAGTTGCGCTTCCGCGCGGGGATCCGTTCCCGCCCGCGGGGGATCGCACGGGCAGTGCGGAGGCAGCGGCGGCGGCGAGGCCGTGGAGGCGGTAGCGAAGAGTGTGCGCCTGGGGCGCGTCGGCGGAAGCGGCGGAGTCGTCGATGAGATGCGCGGAGGGGAAGCCCGCGTGGTGCACGGCGGCGAGGAGATCGGCGGGGGAGAGCGCGGTGGAATCGAGGACGACGTGCGCCTCGGCCGTAGAGAGAGAGACGATCGCGGATAACACGCCCGCATGGCCCTGCGCGCACACGGGAACCCGGTGGGGGGAAAGCGGGGGAGACGAGTGCGGGGGGGACGAGTGGTGAGGAAGAGGCGGCAAGGAGGAAAACTCTCTTTCCGAGAGAGCGACTGACGGGGAGCAGTGGCTGAAGGTCAAGCGCGACGCTGAAAACAGGGAAAGCTACTCGTGCTACAGCTGTAACGCTGGTGGAACTGGTTACCGAACTCACCTGTAACATTTCCTCCAGCGAGCCGGCGGAGCTGACGAGCAGCAGGTCGGGGATGCGCAGGCGGCAGGGGCGCGCCCCCCCCACGGGGTGAAGGGCGGCGGCAGCGGAGAGCGGATCGTCCATGGCGGTGACCTCAAACCCCGCATCCTCCACCGCTGCCGCGATGTCGTCCGCCTGTAGTGCGCCCGCGCGGGGGGCAAGGAGGGGGGAAGGAAGGGGGGGAGGAACGGCGGAGGGCGGGGGGAAGAAAGGGGGAAGGAATGTTAAGAAAGGGAGAAGTTAAAGTGAGGAAAGCGAGGCAGAAAGTTAGCCGTCATTGACATTCTAGCGACTCCGAGCAGCAGGGGCGGGGAAGCGCGACTCACGTTAGTCTTCATGTTGTTGAACGTCACTCGCGCGCGCCCGTTAACAACGGACACCACGGCCCGCGACACGCCGTCAACGCGCATCAGCGCCTTCTCGATGGACGCCGCGCACGCCGCGCACGCCATGCCGCCCACCGCCAGCTGCACCTCCGCCGCCATGTTGCCCGCCGCGCCGCCCCCATCCTCTCCCGCGCCGCACCCTGCGCCTCCCGCTGCGGCGCGGTGCGAAGGAGAAGCCCTAGTAACACTGCTGTCGCTTGCATGCGGGGACGAGGGGCGGTCCGGCAGACGAGAAGCCTTGCGCGGACGGCCCTTGGGCGGAAAGAGCGCCGCCCGGAAGAGGTGCCAGAGGGACTTGCGGCCTGATCGCGACATGACGGCGTCAGTTACTATCGCGTCTGAAGGATGGTGCAGGGCACGGCGAGAGTCGGGTAAGACCATGGCTGGTTCAAACAGGTCGCACTAGGTACGGTCTTATGGCCACTAGGATGCAGGGAGCGCGCGCAGGGAAGGGCGATTGGCCCGGCGTGACGCAGGGGGCGGGGAAGGGGCGCGAGGAGGAGCCGCGGAAGAGCACGACGGGAGATGGCGGGGTGCGGTGCGGAGGTGTCGTTGTGTGTGATGCAATGCGATGTGCACTTGTGCACATGAGCAAATAGGAGATAGAGGGGGCGCGATTTACAAAATGATGGATATGTGTCACGGTGACGGAGATTTATAGACGCATGGCTAGGCAAAGGACAAATCTGGAATGGTCGCGACTCGCGAGACACGTGTTCCTGCAATCAGGATTCAGGAGGCTGCATTCGCGAAACGTCTGTGAGGAAGCTGCGTGGGCGTGTGCTGGTATCTTCAAGGCGGTTTCCCGTTGATACACTCCTTGATTACATCTTCTTATGAATAAATAACTCACCATGAATTGTTGTTGTGTTGAAACCCTCCACCTTAGTGTCAACCTGGAAAAGAATAGGCTTAGCACAGAATCAAGATTACAAGCCATCAACATTATTGTGAAGCCTTGTTACCCCTTTTCCCAACTGCTTTCCCTCTCCCACCCTTCTGTTGTGCAGCGATAGCCTTGGTTGTGCCCTTTCTAGTACCAGCCACCTGAGATATTGCCTGCTTTTCCACTTTCCCTGTTGCAGTTCCTTTGGCAATCGTTGCCTTAGCTGCTCCCTTAGCAGCGACTGCATGCCCTTTACCTGCAGTGGCAGGGGCACCGCCTTTCTTCCCCTGCGCACCTCCGGTCCTGCCTTTCCCACCTGCTGCAGCTGGGACAGCAGGGACTCCCTTGCCCCCTCTCCCTTTCTCCACCACAGGCCCTTTATTTCCTCCCTTGGCAACGACTCCAATACTCGCTCCCTTTCTTCTGTCAGTTGTTGCAACACTTTTCCCTCCCTGAGCACCTCTTCTGCTTGCAACCGCAGCCTTCTTCGCTGCACCAGCGGCAGCAGCAGCAGCAGCAGCAGTTACGCCACCACCAGCAGTCCCAGCAGCAGTACGAGCAGCAGCACTCCCCGGGTCAGGGCGGGCGGGTTTCTCAATGACGGCGTTGAGGTAGAGGTGGAAGCCCTTGCGCTCGCCGGACTCTGGCTTGGGGGAGAAGCCCCACTTGAGGCGGCGGTACCGCAGCAGGTCAATGACGGCCACGTACAGGGGCATCTCGTCCACCGGCGCGTAGAACATCTCAAACCACACTATGCCACCTGCGGGACCGCACCGCACCGCCATGCACACACACGAGACAGCTTCAATATGCTGGTCTCAAATTTGCAGTGTTGTACGAGGGAGAGGAGCTAGCCAAATTTGGAGCCACTGCTGCGGCGGTAAGCAACTGTTGAGTGACTTGAAACACCGTGCATAAATGGCTGGTGTACATGTACGGTACGGATGCCAGGGCAAGGGGCATATGGCACAGAGCACAGACCTGGTCGCAGGACGCGGTCCCACTCGAAGACAAGCTCTTCGAAGTCAAGGATGGGCAGGTACTTGACGCTGTTCACACTGTGAATGATGTCCAACGTGTTGTCGTAGAACGGCAACCGCGCCTGCTCCACCCAGGGGGGGGAGGGAGGTGGGAGAAAGGGAAGGAAAACAGGGGGCACACGGGTGCGGCGGAAGGGGTTCAAATAGCGTGGCAGGTTGAGAGGGGCGGTGGGCGGAGCAGTGGGGCAGCGGCGAGTAGCAGAGGAGGTGGTGGGGAGGCAAGGAGCAGGTTGGAAAGGTTGGTTTTCGGGCTGACCTTGTGGGGCACGAAGAGGGGGATGAGACCTCTGAGCGCAATGGTCTCCATGTAGGGCAGCCCGCCATAGTTGCCGTTCACTGTCTCGCTGTTCATGGCCGTGGTCAGCACTGTCACATTGTACCGCGCCATGTGCGCTGCAAAGCTGCCCGTTCCTCCACCCGCATCCAGACCCAGCCTGTAGGTGCGCGGGAGGGGAGGAGGGAGATGGAAACAGGAAGAGATATTGGTACGTACAGCTACGATTGAATGAAAAACTGGCCAAATTGATGGCAGCCAAACGGACTTGCAGACACTACCAGGAATAGGCTACTGGAATCACCCCTCGCCGCAAGTCCTCCCACACGCCTCACCTGAGCGCCCCTCGTTTGAGCTTGATGACGTCAGCCATGGTTTGTGAGCCGCGGTAGGCGCGCTGCCAGCGGTAGCTCTCGAGCGTGAGGTTGAAGCAGTTGCGACAGTCGCCCAGCGCACGCGCGTTGAGGCACGCAAAGGACTTGCAGTGGTGGCTGCCCCACCGCACGTTCTCGTCCTTGAGCGCGCGCTGGTCAAACAGCGATTGTGGGAATGGCAGCGGCTGCCCACCAGGAGACACGCGGTGGGGAAAGGGGAAGCGGAGGGAAGAATGCAAAGGAAAATGTCAGGATAGGCTAAGTGGAGGGATAAGTGGGTGAGTGGAGAGAATGGTAAGAAGGAACCACGGGAGGAAAGCGAAAGGCACACGGGTGCAGCAGTGAAGCAGGCACGTGCAGTTGGTACGGGGGAGTGGACTGCCATGCACAACGACCCCCGAAGAGCAGGGGCAACCAGAGCAGCACACAGTGCCTTCCTATGGTCCTTGTATCGCCTGCACATACACCCAGCAGCGCGTGCGTGAGAGTGCGTGCACGTGCGCGTGCAAGTACCTCGGAGGGGTTGGTGGGAGCGCGGGCAAAGCAGTTGCGGATGGGGAGGTGGAAGCAGTCCTTGGCGTAGAGCAGGTCCTGCACAAAGAACCAGTCGTCCGGACACTGCCTGTGCGGCCGGTACTTGTGGTACTTGGCCAGCTCCGCTGGACTCGCCTGACAGTAGTAGCCCTGTGCAGAGTGGGAAGCATGGTTTGGGAAGGGAGGGGCGAGAGGAGGAGGAAAGGTGGGAATAAGAGGGCACGTGTTGCGGCACTGTATGCAATGGTGTGTAGGCATGCAGGTGCACAAGAAATAGCACAGAAAAGGGTGCACAGTATGGGAGGAAGGCACGGGGGTAGTGTGGCTGTGGAGAGCCGTGCAAATGAGGCCGAGAAATCTCAATGGTGAAGTGCGGGAAGGCACAGTACCTTCCAGGAGGTGGGGCGTTGTGGCGGCATGTTGGCCTGCTTGACAGCGTTGCCCGCCTTGTCCTTGAGCGCCAGCACGCACTGCTGCTCCAACATGCTCACAGTACGGTTGTGCGCCTGCCCATCATCACCAGCACATGGGGGGGGGGGGGGGGGGGGGGGATGACACAAGGCAAGAGAGAAGGCAGGTTGTATGTGAGATGGCAGCACATATAAGCGGATTTCAGCGTTATTGGAAGACTTGAAGCCAGCATTAGTGGTGGTGCAAGTCGCCGCAGACCAGGAGAAATGAGGGAGACGGGAAGGGCAGTGAGAGAAACGAGCGGTGCACATACCTTTTCAGTGAGCAGCTTGGGAGCCCAGTCGCCCTGGTCGTAAAGAAAGTCCTTCACTCTCTGCATTGCCTGCGCCTGCTCCTCCAAACTCGCCTGCACACATGGGGGAAGCACAGGGCACAAGGGCGAGGCAGCACACTGCAGAGTACTGAGGGAGGTCACAGAGAGGGGCCACGGAGTCATGGCCTGTGCAGGGAATGAGCCGTACGTAAAGCTGATGAAGGGCAACGAGTGGCACGGCACTAAGTGGTGGGTTTGGCTGCAGGCGGCAGGCATGCGCGTCATTGAGGGAGCGCAAGGCTTCAACTTGCTATGTCTGGAATGACGTTGCGTCTGGCATGTCGTGGCATGGCATGGCATGGTAGCAGCACCTTGACGCTGTCGATCTTGGCCTTGAGGTCATCAATGTCGCTCTGCACCGTCACCAGCTTCGCCTGTAGCACATCCACTGGGGACGCCTTCAGTAATCGCCGCCCTCCCCCTGCCATCCCTGCGCCCTCCCCATCCCCGCGCCCACCATCTGCCCCTTCCTCCATCCAATCCGCGTCTTCCCCTTCCTCTTCCCCAACCATCCGCCCCAACAATCTTGTTCCGCCCAATCCTAACGAAGATTCATCCTCTCTCCTCTCTCTCGCCGTCAGCTCCCCCCCTGCACTCCACGAATCCCTTTCATGCCCATCTGCACCCAGTGCTACCACTGCGCCACTCTCCCTGCTCCCACCCTCCTCCATGTCTCTAATCCTCCAACGGCTTTCCAGTCTCCTCGCGTCCGTCCCTTGTGCCGTTCTCAAGTGACCGTGCTCACCACGTCTGCCCCTGCTCGCTGGCACATCACCATCACGGTCTGCTGACTCATCCTGACCAGGTGCCTCCAACGAAGGGCCATTGGGTGATTTTAGGGGTTGCGAGGCGGTCAGGAGGAGGGAGAGGTTGGCGATGATGTGTGGAGGAAGGCAAGCGGTAAGGGCGTGCGGCAGAGCGAGCAGGCGACGGCGGGCGCCGTACATCTGTGCCCTGCGCTGTGAATATGCTGGTCCATGGGGGGCATGGGGATGGTGGGAATAAGCGGGAAAGGGAAGGGATGTGCGGGGGACAGGGGGAAAGGGAGAAGAGGAGGAAGCTGTTAAAAGTGGGGAGGAGGAGGGGAAGGAATGCAGGAATTGGAGGAAACGAGGGAGGGACGGATGGGGTATGCTAGTGCTCGATCAACAATATGAAAAAGAGCACCACACAAAAGTGCCAGACGCTGCATTCAAGCAGCATGCGGCAGGGCAAGGGCAGGCATGACTAGGGCTAGTGCAGGTGGCGTACGTCCATAGAGGCCCAGCAGTCTGGTGACCTCCGCCCTGCACTCGTCGCAATTCTCCTCCACCGCCCCCTCCTCGCCCGCCGCCTCCTCCCCTCCTCGCTGCTGCTGCAGCTGTTGCTGCTGCTGAAGCGGCACCTGCATCTGCATCTCCTGCTGCGGCAGCACCTGCTGCTGTTGCTCCTGCTGCTGTCTGTCCTGCTCGAAGCCCTGCCCATCGGCGCGCATCCGCCCCTGCGCTTGCCGTCCATCCTGCCACCTCGCATCTTGTGCTCCCCCCATTAGACCTCCCTGCGAGTTCATCCCTCCCTGCTGCTGCGTTGCCATCCGCGCTTTCCAATCTCCACCACTCTGTACCCCTCCGAATCCTCCCTGCATCCCTCCCCCGGCAAATCCGCCTATGCCCATCCCCCCATTGCCCCATCCGCCTCGCTGCTCCTGTAGGCGCATCCGCAAGGCTCCGCCCGATCCCCGCCCCTCCAGCAGACGGGGGTCTCCTTCCGCTCCGCCGCCTTCCGCGCCCTGCAACGACCTGCGGACGGGTACGCGGATAGAGGGGAGAATGAAGGAACGTGAGCAGCGGATAGATCTGGGGAAGCGGACGAGATATCGGATAGAATGCGGGAGTCACGAGTACGAACGAAGGTAGACCGGAAAACGAGATGGCGGTAAGAAGGGGGAGAGGAGAAGTGGGGAGGGGAACGGAGGTGGGTGGGAAAGGGTGGGGGGACGCGGCGGTGGTGGGGAGAGGGGTGCTTTTCTGTGGGTGGAAGGCCCATGATATATAGCATGCAAGGCGACACATCGAACCACCACGGGGTTCGGGCACAGCCCGTACCGACACGAGGTCAGCAAGACAATGACCGGGAATATTGAACAGCTAGCCCTGAAAAAACGCTTGACTGCATTCGATGCACGTGTGCGGAAAAGGATTCCACGACGACTTTCCCTCTCAATGTCCAGCCATGGGACACCCCCGTGATAGCAGCTCGCCGCGTCGATCCCCAAATTGAATCATATATCCGGGCCTGATGTTTCCGCGAGGACGCGCGGGAGTGCACAACAGCCGCGCGTCTGGGACTTACTTCTCGGCGAGTTTGTCGAGCGTACTAAAGTCGAGGAACAGGCTGCGACTGCTAAACTGCTCCGCGGCCAGCAGCGCGACGAGCCCCAGCATCCCCGCCGCCACGCATCGCCAGCACGTGAACCGCCGCCGGCCTTTACCGCCCGAGCTCTTGGCCTTGGAGAGTACACTCGGCGATCCCGGCACAGAGGATCGCCGCAACGGGGACGAGCTGCGCAGGCTACTGACTGACGTGGACAGCGGCGAGCCGAGTCGCAGCATCTCTGCTGCGGTGGCCTGATAATCCTAATCTGCTAGCTAGTGGGCATGGGAATGTTGCCTGGTCGACAAGGCATCTGCCGATTCTAAAACTATCTGAGGACCTATGATTAAACGCCGAGTGTATAGCAAATTATTGGTGAGGCTAAAAAAAAAAAAAAAGCCATGTGGGAGTGGTCTACAAGTAGCACAACGACGCAGCGCCAACGGCCAACGGCAGATAGCAGGAAGAGCAGGCCAAGCAAACCCTGAGAAAGGTATTACCGAGGCCAGCTACCAACGAACGGTCGCATGTTCTGGTCCAGGTGGTTTTGACGATACTGCTACACAGTTGGCCTTAGGCTTGGTTTGGCCGCGCGAGTGTCGCAAAACGCCCTCCTGCATGAACTGCAATGAGTTTGTAACCAGCAGTCACCTGAAGGAACTAACACAGAGTATACCTTTTACAAATAGCATGTTGCATGTTTTCCCTGATTTTGTAGTGTGAAGATCAGGTACAGTCCCTCAGCCTCCCGGTGCTGGGACATATGTTTCTTCACTATGCACAACCTATTGTACAAGCTGGAGATTGACACTTGAATTGAAATTTGGAATTGCATACAATGGACCGGTAGATCTGTTGGGAACAATAAGTCTTAAGCGCCTCTGTCGTGTCGAAACTCAGGACACTAGCGAAGCAGTCCGAATTGAAGCACCGCGAGTCAACCCTCGGAGGTTAGGGTAACCGCCTGGAGGTTACGCGAGGGTCAAAGGTCAGCGACCTTTGACTTGACAAATACAGCGCGACAGCAAGGACACACAACTGACTCGACATTGAGCAGTTGCCCGAGTCGCACTGTATCGAATCGCAACAGTAAAACGGTTTTAATTTATCGATTCGTATTCCTTGTACTCTTATATAAACCTTTGTATTTGCTTGTTTAATTAACTTACTTTGCCCTTACATACTAGCGCAAGGTGGTTCAAGTACTTTCATTCAAACGCTTCCGCTATTACAATCCTACTCAGACTTTAAGCTCTACAAAGATCCTAGGGCTACTCAGCCCAACATGGTATGAGAGCAGTTAGAGTTTCAAGTCATTTTCCTTTTAACAAGGAGAGGAGCTCCTCCAACGGTTCTCCAGGCACTACTCCTACTCCACCTCCTGCCTCTGGCCTACAGACAGAGGAAGGAACTACCACGAGACCAGCAGCTGGGTCCACGGAAACTCCCGCAGGCTTCGATCCAAGCATGATGGAGAATTTTTTCTCCTTCATGTCCTTCTACGAGCAACACCAGCAAGGAGTGCCTGCGCAGTCAAACAACAGCAACAACAACAACGTGACTCCTATGAGTCTTGACGGCTCTTCCTGTGAAAATAACTAGCAAGGCTAAGGAGCCATGGCTAGAGAGGTAGGAGAATTGAGCTCGAGTGGGTTTAGGTAAGTCGAGAAAGTTTCAAGAAAGTGAGGGGTTTCACTATAGAGCGCAGAGTACAAATAGGCAAGAAGGAAAGGTGCACCACCAAACAGAACATTATATAACTACAGTAGTCTACACTACAGGCAGTGTCAAAACAATATATAGAAATATATATTATTCTTGACACGCCCCCATAAGTGCCTGTAGGGAAGAATATGCAGTCAACGCCCCCATAATGGGGTACACCAAGCAGAGTGCAGTTGAAGTAGCAGCAGTAGGCAGGAGCAGTGACAACAAGTGCAGAAAACAGAGAACAAAAGGGAGAGAGGAGAGAGAGAGGAGAGGAGGTGGTAGGCTCTGGTTGGTCACCCCCTACATCCCCTCAACCTCCCCCTCCCCCTCCCCATCCCCCTCACACTGCTGCAGGAGCAGCAGAGGGGGGGGGGGGGGGGGGGGGGCAAACGGAGGAGAATGGGGCCGTAGGGCCAGGGGACCAGACATCACCCATCACCCCCACACCCGCCACCCCCAGTCCCTCCCCGGGCTCCCCCACACTCTCACACCCTCCCCCCCAGCGGCAGCTGCAGCAGAGGGAACAAAAGGAGGAGGAGAAGAAGGGGGGGAGGGAGGGGGGGGGGCGACGCACGGCCTCCCCGGGCGCCAAAGCAGGCGGCAGAGGGGGCAACGCCTGCCCCCCCCTTCCAGGTCGCGGCCCCCGAAGGAGCCGCGACGGGTGACGGGAAAAGGGGGGGGGGGCGGTGCACGTGCCCCTGGTGTGCCGCGGCTGGCGACAGGGCATGGCCGGGGCGGGGTCGGGGCTGCAAGAGGGCGGGGCCGCAGGTGGCATCGGGGCCTGGGGCGGGTACCGCACGGGCGGCGACGGGCCGGGACGGGCGGCGACGGGCCGGTACGCGCGGCGACGGGGCCGCAGCGAACGGCGGCGCGTCGTACGGGCGGCACGTGACGCCGCGAAGGGCGGCGACGGGCTGGTACAGGCGGCGACGGGCCGGGACGGGCGGCAAGGCCGCTAAAGCAGGGCGGCGAGGCCGCGACAGGAGGGCGGCGGGGCCGCGACAGTAGGGCGGCGGGGCCGCGACAGCAGAGAGGCGGCGAGGCCGCGACAGTAGGGCGGCGGGGCCGCTTAAGAAGGGCGGCGGGGCCGCGACAGTAGGGCACACCACGAGGCGTGCAGTACACTCAGTAGCAGCGGAAGCAGGAGTCCAGGAGCGGAACACGCTCTGATAACATGTGAAAATAACTAGCAAGGCTAAGGAGCCATGGCTAGAGAGGTAGGAGAATTGAGCTCGAGTGGGTTTAGGTAAGTCGAGAAAGTTTCAAGAAAGTGAGGGGTTTCACTATAGAGCGAGGAGTACAAATAGGCAAGAAGGAAAGGTGCACCACCAAACAGAACATTATATAACTACAGTAGTCTACACTACAGGCAGTTACAAAACAATATATAGAAATATATATTATTCTTGACACTTCCTACGCACGCGGAATTCAACAACAACAACAACAGCAGCCTACCTTTGCGCCGTACGAGCCCCAACGTGGCTCCGTTAGCTTCATGCCGCAACCGCAACCTGCACCGGGACAAGAAAGGGCATTGGATGCGTTACAAGTTCAATCGCAATTCGCGCATGTCCTAAAACTGCAAACGACAAAGCCTTTCGACGGCAAAGATTTCTTCACCTGGTCGTTCGAGTTCGAACTTATGATGGAAGGAGCACAGATTCTCGGCTTCTTCGACGGGTCCCTGCCATACCCAACAAACGGGACGCAATATGAGAAGCAGCAATATACTTATCAATTGATGATGGCGTACACGATACTGCTGAGGAACATCACCCCGACCCAGCAGCAGAACATCAGGACTTACCGAGGCTACGGAAAACTCCGCGGAGCTCGCGTACAACCACCTGAAGAACCTGTATCAAGCAACAGACAGCGTAAATCAGAGCAGGTTAATGGCGCAACTGACAACGATTGAAATGAAACCAGGCGAGAAAGGCATGGCTTATATCAGCCGCTGTCGCGAACTGCGCGACAAGCTTCTTCGATGCGGAGGGTCAATTTCAGAAGACACCTTTGTCACGGTGGTCATCGGCGGTCTCGGACCCCACTGGCGCTCTACTCGCGCCATATTGCGAGCACACGGGAGGATCTCCAAAGCGGCACTCAACGCCGAAATTCATGCTCAGCAGTAGGACATGGACCTGCAAGAAGAAAGACACAAGAAGAAAGCATTAGTACCGGAGTTTGCGTTTCACACTCAGCGACGATACAACGGCAACAACAATCGACAACAGCAACAAGTAAAAACGGTACCTCCGTTCTGCCACATCTGCAAGACTTCGGGCCATCCTCGCACGCACTGCCCGTCTCGTCAGACAACACCACAGCGACAGCTCCGGCCTTCAAGCTTCCAAGTTGCTTCAACGCAAGCTAATCCGACGACCACAATCCAAGCTTCAACGACTTCAACTGGACAACCTGCAGAAGGAGCAAGAAACATAGTCAACTGCATGGTGAAGATAACCGATTCGTGCACAACCGAATCACCACCGCACTACTCACCGGAAGAAGAGCTCGACAACAGAACGCCTCGCCGCGAATCACTCCAGCCAAATCCGACGTACGCCGCCATCGCTCAAAGCGAACCGTCCGAGCAAGACACCTGGTTCTTGGACAGTTGCTGCGGACAACATATGTGCTCCTCGGGCGCTTCGTTCAACGCGAACATCGACTCCAGCGAGAAGTAGTCATCACGGTCGCCAACAACCAGAACCTGCGCACACGACGACAAGGAGTAGTTCAGCTTCAATCAAGAGAGACAAACGTCATACTGCACATGTCAAAGGTACTCATCGCAGAAGGACTCGGTTATAACTTACTGAGTGTTAGCCAGCTGATGGCGAAAGGGATTCACTTGGAAGCCGACAGCACCACCCAAGAATTTAAGTTATACCACGGGAAGGGCGGCCTCTACATCGGAAGAGCAGTGTTGAAGAACAACGTCTTCGTTCTTGATTTCGTCCCCGACCTGGGCACTGCAGACAGCGACGCCATCGTCAACTTCACCGACTGGACACATCCTCCGGACCTCGATCCCGACTTCAGCCCGGGAGGTTTCTGGTACTCGCACACCATCCCTGAAGCAGAACGAACACGAGCATTAGCAACGATTCAACAAACGGCAGCAGCAGAGACAACATCGACAGCAGCAGAAACAACATCGACAGCAGCAGAAACAACATCGGCAGCAGCAGAACCATCATCGGCAGCAGCAGGACCAACGACACCAGTCATCGTCGACGAAGCACCACCAACACCCGCACAACAGCTGAACCCGACTCAACGAGAAGTCCACCGAAGCGCAAACATCGTCGCCAGCTTCTACTCCAACTCCGACGTGTATCAACACTCACCCGGACACCGCGCCTCCGAAGACACCTGGCACGCACGCACAGGACATCCAAGCAATACGGTGTTAACCAACACAATACGAGCAGGAGTCCTAGACAAAGACTCGCTACTACTACTCGATGGCAGAGAACTTCAACGGGCACGAGGAACTTGCCACATCTGCCCTGAAGCC